TTGTAAAATATTAATGATTAATTAAAAATTAAAATTCAACAATAATAGAATATCGAATTTTTATTTTAAAATGGAATTAATTTATTTTTTTAAAATATCATAACTTAAAAATTCAATAATTTTTTTAATCATTGGATTCTGTAAAAATATTTTTTGATAAATTTAATATTAAAAGAATTCCAAAATACAATTAAACACAATGCAATAAAGATATAATTGTATATAATTTATACAAAGTAATTTATTTAAAAGATTTAAAAAGTATTCTATTTTGAAAAAAAAATCTACATTGGTATATTTAATTAGAATAGCTCACATTTACTGATTTTAAAAACTAGAATGTTATTGTTATGTGATAAATTTATTTTTAATCTATTGAAAAATGGCGTATAAATAATCTGAATTAAGCTTTTTATTTTAATGTTTTGGTTGATGTATTGTTGGATATTCAGAATGTAATGAAGTCAAAAAAAATAAATAATTGTAATTAAAAAAAATCAAATTAAGGTTTATATATATTTACTTCCAAAACACCAATAATTTTTATTACTGATATTATTAAATAGAAAAATTTCTCATTTCAATTAGTTTTTGAAAATTCATAAATTATTTAATCATTAATTAGAAATTCAAATTGAACAATATTTAAATATCGAATTTTAATTTTCTGATGAAATTAATTTTTTTTTTTAAATATCATATATTAAAAATGCAATAATTTTTAGTCATTGGATTCTAAAAAAATATATAATTGAATTTTTTTTTAATACAATTAATTTTTTAATCAAGACAATTAATATTCAAAACGAATTTAAATCTACAATTCAACACAGTGTACGTCATCCATGAAGGGGTGGTCATATAATTTAATGATCATATAACTTTTATAATACAAAATTAATTATTTAAAAGATTTAAAAATTATTTCTATTTTGAAAAAAATCTACATTGATTTTTGAACAGTTTTTTTTAAGAAATCAAATTCTCTTGAATAACAAGATTTAAAGGTTAACCTTTAAATTCCTTCCTTTATTGCTAAGTTTATCTATAAAGCAAGGTTTTTTTCTTAAAACAAATTTTATTCAATCACTAATCAAAGCAAACTACCAGTATTTTATTCAGCTTTTATCTTCAGCTAAATTGAAGTAAAAAAACCGAAACTAAACTTCCTGCTTAAATGAGGTGTTTTGTTATATATATTTATATTCTATGTAATAGAGAGTGATTTTATTTGTTCTTGGAAAAAAGTTCTAAAGATTACGATGTCAGAAATTTTATTTAATCGATAAATCAGTCTAACAATTTGTTTTAACTGCTAAACTCAGTTACTTTGTATATAATAATTTCCTGTAATAAACTGAAAAAAGTAATACAATATAGGAAAGTATAGGGAAAAGTATTTTATAGTGCTTGTCATTAATTAGACTTTTTTATTAATTCAATATTTAAGCGGCAATGTTTTTCATTATTTGTATAAAAACCTTGTTCCTCTTAAAAAAGCATTAATAAGTTATTATCAAATCAGTTTAGTGTTTATTTTTCCCCGTTGTTTTACGATGCTACGATGACCCGTTGTTACGTTATATAGCAGATTCACCATTATATAGGATATGCTGTGAAGGTCTAATGAAACATATTGTCTAAAGTAATTATCATTTTACTGTGAATAAAAATAAAATTAAACTTCCGATTTAAAAGGGGGTATTTTTTAATATATTTGTTTGCTACGTAATAGAAACAGATTTTATTTATTCTTGTCAAAATTTCTAAAGATTACGACGTCAGAAATTTTATTTAATCGATAAATCAATATAATTATTTGTTTAAAAAATAATATAATACTTTGATAGGAAAAAAGTTTTAACTGCTAAACTCAATTATTTTGTACATAATAATTTCCTGTAATGAGATAAGAAAAGATACAATATATGAAAGTATAGTAAAAAGGATTTTATAATAAATATTATTTAAGGTCATTAATTAGACATTTTGAAAATTATTCAATATTTAGGTAGGTTTTATTTCCACTATTTGTAAAAAAAAAGTTTGTCTAAAAGGAATAATAAATTATTATTAAATCATTTTATTGTTTAATTTTTCTCATTGTTGGATGATGTACTTACTTTATTTATCAGTTATACAGCAGATTCAGCATTATACAGGATATGCTGTAAAGATCTGATGAAACAAACTGTTCTGAAGTAATTATCATTTTACTGTGAATAAAAATAAGTGAATAAAAAGATTTTTTTCCGTCACACAGATAATGGCAAAATATGCTGACAAAGACATGTTATTTACCTTTCAAAATAAATATTGTTGGAAGGAGATGAAGATCAAAACAGTAAACATGTCTTCCGAAAAAGCACATCACAGCCAGTTTCCAATTAAATCTGAGCTAGTTTGTACGAAACATTCCTTCAGAAAATCTTAGCACTTTTTTCTCTTTTTTGAGGATAGCTTAACAACATTCTTGTGAGGTCTATTCTATTAAATATGCTCTCTCATTCTTTCGTAAGTAAATATTTAAAATTTCAAGAAAATCTACTTCTGTATTTGTCTTCTTACATTCTTCTATATTCTCAAATTTTAAAAATAAGATTTTAACAAATCTTCCTGCATTTAATCTGTACTTTTTATGATCTTTTCCAGTATGAAAACATTTATTTAAAGTTTAGCGGGAGACATTTTTCTTTGTCATAAAACTTACGAATTCCATTTTTATTCTTGAAAACAAAACATGAATTACAAGGACACTGAATTCTTCAGATTTCTTCAGAACAAAAATTACATCTGTATCAAGTTGACTGAGCACAAAAAAAGTAATATTGCACAAATGGCCTGAAATGCAGGAATAAATATTTCATGCTCTACATCTTTTAAAAACATCTGCAATAGAAACGTTTCAGAAAATGGACTGAATCTGTTTTCGGAAAGTGAGCATGACATTTACGGGATAATTAAGTATCAAAATTCTGAATGCGCACAAACTCCAATTTCGAAAGTAAAAATATTCGATTCACGTGCAAAAGATGCTTGAAATCCAGAAGACCGTGAATAATACTTTAAAAAATAGTATTATTATTTTATATTTCAAACAAATATCAACAAAATAAAATGTGTATTTTTATACATATGGAATATCAAGTAACTAGTTTAACAATTCAAGTAAAAAGTAACTAATTAATAGAAGTGGAATGAAAATAGTTACATTAACTGAAAAATTATTCAGTTTTATAATTATTATAGTTATATTTTATAGTTATAATCTAACGCATGTTTAATTTAATATCTTAAATGCATTTTTAAAAAAAAATAATTTTAAGCTATGAAATGTTTCTGCTTCTACAGAATTTATTTATTTAATTTTATATTACTTTGGTACTTATAAATATCCACTTATCTTGTGTTATGATCTTGCATTAGCTTAGGGCAGCGGTTCTCAAATTTTTTGAAGTCCGGCCGCATTTAAAATCTTACAAATAATTGCAGGCGCACTATGTACAAATATCTGAGAAACATGCATCAACTACTAACGCCTGATAGTTTCAAATTCAAATGGTCATTTTGGCAGACTACTACTTACAGACGGCAGTGTCTCAAAGGCTACAATGGAAATTTTTTTAGCATTGAAAGCCAAATGGACTCTATCACTTCTAGTATCCAACCAGAGAAAATTCCTCTTCCTATTCAAATTAGGAGAGGTATAATTGTATTGTAATATAATAATAAATCTCTTTCTCTCTCTGTTATATATATTAGTTTCGGTTTTCAATTGGTAAAAATTACACTTAATTTGATTTCGATTTTTTGGGTTTATGCAGTTTGTAATCCCTTGTTTCGAATTATGCGGTTGTATATTTTTGGTTAGTTTACATTTTTATAACTGCAGATTTTATTACTTTTTTTATTATTTTGATTTTATGATCAGATTTTTCATGTAAATCAATTTGTTTGTTCCACAACTTGAATTGTGTCCTTTAATTGTTGATAGAATCAATAGTAAAACTAAATCAGGCATTTAACATTTAAAATATAACTTCAATTTTTATCATTATTACAATATTATTGAACAAAACAAAATCTAAGCTAAAAGAAGTTTTAAAAGGAATAATAACCTGCAGAAAACTACTTATAATACAAAGGCAAAATAATTATATGAAGAGTTTGATTTTATGTACTTTGATGCGTTAAAAGTAGTATTGTTCAGTGTGAATCATAAATATAATGCTATGATGAAAAAAACATTTCAAATTACTAATCCTTTATAAAACATAACCTGTCAAAAAATGTTTCTTTTTAGATACTAAACGTGGTTTAGTTTTAAAAACTGCTATATTGTTTTCATCGAAAAGACGTTTACTACTGCTCCGCCTTTGAAATTACAGTAATTAGATCATAAAACAGATGATTCGAAAGAATTGCGCGTCATTAAATCTAAAATGGAACAAGTTACAAAAGAAAACCTGTAACATAAAACAAGTTAAAAAAAAAAAGAAAAGAAATTATAATTTTTTCATGAAAACAACGCATGAAAAATTTATTAAAAAAATTTCTCTTAAAAGCTTATAATTCTTTTTCTGATTTTTTTTTTTTACTTTTTATTTCTGTTTCATATATCTCAAAATACCATCTGATTACGCACATTGCAAAAGTTCTTTAAAATTTCTTAATAATTCAAACCCAAAATATTTTAAGACTAATGGAAGTTACTAAATGCTAATGCTATTGATATGAATTACGTTTATATTTATGAATAATCTAATATCTTATGTTATTTGTATAGTTATAAATAATATATAATGTAGTTTTCTTAAGCATCTAATTTTTAAACTAGATTCAGTTCATGCTACGAAGAAACGTAATTTCAAAAAAAAAATAAATAAACAATAATAATAATAATTATAATAAATAACCGTTAAAAAATAAAATAAAAAAGATACCAAACTAGAGAAACAATTTGAAAAGGCACCTCCTATCCCATTAGAATCTTATCAGCCAACGGCCATGCCATGCTGAATATACCGGTTCTCGTTAGATCACCGAAGTCAAGCATCATGGGCGCGGTCAGTACGGGTGGTGCTGCAGGAACACCGCGTGCCGTTGGCATTCACAAATTTGGGACCTGAATGACTGAGTGTCTGGCGCTCGGTGCCAAGGTTTCGGTTTCGAGTCCCGGCGGTGCCATGGATGTTTATAATGGTTCGGAAACCACTTTAAGCCGTAGGGTCGGTCTCTATGACTGTAAGAGCGTCACGGAGCCAAAGTCAGACTTCTACCTACGGGTGCTCTATCACAGGTGCTCTATCCTTCCCCTTCAATCATGAGTACGTAAGGGCTCGTGGGCTTGGCCAGCCAAGTAAGATAAGAAACAACAACAACAGAATCTTATCATCAGTAGAATCAGAATCACTATCTCAGTTAACTGAAAGTTCCTCTTATGATGAGAATATCGTGGAATACTACGAGAATGATATAGATGATATAGATACGGACCGGACCAATCGGTTCTATTTTTAATCGATTTGAATTTTAACTCTAATTTTATAAATCTTGGCATGTGTGATACTAAGTTTTTAATTTTCATTAATTTTACTTTTGTGTTTAGTTTAAATGTATTTTATCATTGAACTTATTGTTTAACGCAATTTCGCCAAAAGTGGCCTGTGCCAAAACCTGTTTATCTCTGTAACATACAACGTTAAAAAAAAAAGAAATTATAGTTTTTGTCATGAAAATAACACATGAAAAGGAACCTCTCAATACATGTTATTCTTTTTGTGATTTTTTTCTGCCAATTCATATAGTATAATTCAAAATACCATTTAATTATGAACATTACAAAAAGCTCATTAAAATTTCTTAATAATTCAAACACAAAATATTTTAAGAATAATGGAAGTTACTCAATGCTAATGCTATCGTTTTCGGAATTACATTTATAATCATGAAAAAAGTAATATTCTTATTACTACTATATTTATGAATAATGTCATGCAGTCATTCTTAAGCATCTAATTTTTAGTTTAGATTCAGTTCTTACTGACACGAAGCATAATTTTAAATAAAATTGAACCGGTAAAAACTGCCATCATTTAATACCGTACTAGTAAGAGACAATTTTAAAGTGCTGCTTCTATGCCATTAGAATCGTATCATCAGTATAAATCAGAACCAATATCTCAGTCGTTGAAAGTTCCTCTAATGATGAAAGTATCGTAGAATACGTAGAGAATGATATACTAGTTATGGACCATTTGGATCGATTTTAATAAATTTGAATCTTAGCTTTAAATTTATTAATCTTGACATGTGTAATATTAAGTTTTTTAATCAATTTTCATTAATTTTACTTTGTGTTTAGTTTAAATGTAATTTATCATTATGTTCAGTGTTTAGTGCAGTTGGACCAAAAGTAGTCCTCGTACAAAGAAACTGCACCCTACTTACCTATCTCAAATATTTACAGCCTAATTATGATTCGTCAATTAATTATCAGTTGAATCATTTTTTTTTTTTATTTTAATTAAAAGCTAATGCCCTAATTGTATTTATTAAGTTACTTTCACATTCAATATAATGAATGCATGTTATATAATTTTTCATTTACTGCCATTTTAAACCCCAAAAAAATTCTTTCAATATATATTTTAATGTATTTTTATGTGTCACAATTGCCTGTCGCTATCAACCTTTTAGTAACATCTTAAAACTAAAATAAAAATTCACTTTTTATCAAAGATAAACAGAATTAAAATCGCATTTTCACATTTTCAACCACTTGCAAATTCAAACTACTCAAATTTCTAAATTTAAAACATTATCTAAGCATTTTATACGTTATTCTATCATCGAATTCCCTTTCCCAAAATCTTTAACCATTTAGAAACAGAACATTTTGAATTGTTTTCAAAATATCTAGCACTGAAAGAGTTATTATTTTTCCTTGAATGCTCTGATTAAATTCGACTTCAAAAGAAATATTCTCCGAATGTTCCAAAAACAAAATTTTGATTTCAAATTTGGTGCTTTTCTACTCTGGAAATAATAGAACTTGAATATTTCGTCAAAACAACTCCGGGAAACAATACTTTGATTTATAAAATATTCTGCTTTTTATTTAAGAATAAGACTTTTGTTCTTTAAAACATTCTTCTGAATTCAAGTTTCGAGTTTCAAAATTAAGTACATTTACAACTACAATGTTTATTAAAATTCCTAAAACTTTTGCTTAAAACTTAATCATATAATTTTTTTTTAATATTGAGTAAATGCTAGTAAAATAATGTAACGAAAATTTATTCAACATAAAGGATTTAAAGGTTATTTGAATAAAAATATGCACTCTAATAACATTTAACTGAGGAATTTATGATGTTATTTTATGTTTCTATTCAGTAATAGATTTTATTTGTAGAACAGTCTTAAATTCAAATTTAATGTAGTCTTTTTTGATATTTATGTCACTATAAAAATAGTTATTACATTTAGAAAATTGTTTATTGAAATTTTGTGTTTAATTGAAACCGTTAACATTTACTAATTTTAAAAACCAGATAAATTTATTTTAATATAAATTTAAAAATAAATGTATAAATTAATTTTTTTTTTATTTCTTCTTATAAATGTTGTATAAGTAATGTGAATTAAAATTTTTATTTTAATATTTTTTTGGTTGATGTTTTATAAGATATTCAGTATTTAAAGTTGTGAAATGAAAATAAATAAATAATTACAATGAAAAACAATTAGTATCAGATTAAATTTATATACATTTTCTTCAAAATACCAATAAATTTTATTTCTGATATTATTAAATAGATAGATTTCTCATTTCGGTTCATTTTAAAAATTCGAAAAATATTAATGATTAATTAGAAATTCAAATTGAACAATGATTGAATATCAAATTTTAATTTTTAGATAAAATTAGCTTATTTTTTTAAAATGCCATAACTTTAAGAAATCACTATCATAAAGAACTAATTTTTTTAATCTTTTGATTAAAAATATATATATTAGATATTTTTATTTAATATTAAACGAATTCAAATCTGCAATTAAACATAATGCAAAAAAGATCTAATTTTATGTAATTTATACAAAATTATTTATTTAAAAGCTTTTGAAATTATTATATTTTGAAAAATCTGCATTGGTTTTTGAACAGTTTTTTTTATGAAATAAAATTCTCTTGAATAATAAAATTTAAAGGTTTATCTTTAATTTCCTTCCATTATCCTAAGTTTATCCATAAATGTTTCGTAAAATAAATTTTATTCAATCGCTAAGCAAAGCAAACAAACAACCAGTATTTTATTCAAATTTTGTCTTCAGCTAAATTGAAGTAAGAAAAACTAAAACTAAACTTCCTGCTTAAATGAGGTGTTTTGTTATATATATTTGTTTTCTACGTAATAGAAACAGATTCTATTTATTCTTGGAAAAAAAAATTCTAAAGATTACGATGTCAGAAATTTTGTTTAATCGATAAATCAGTGTAACTATTTGTTTCAAAAATAACTTAGTACTTTGGATAGGAAAATATTTTAACTGCTAACTCAGTTACTTTGTACATAACAATTTAATATAATAAACTGAAACAAATAATATTAAAAAAAAAAATTTTAATTCAATTCCTACTTTTTTTTAACTATATTGCAGAAAAGTCCTTTATAAATAATTTTCATTCATTTTTTAAGTTTATCTGGCGCCATCTATTGGTAGATATATGGTAGATTAAATCTAAAAAAAATTTTAATTAATTAATTAAATTTAATTACTGAATTAATATTTGAAAAAACTGTATTAACATCCAGTGTCAGCCATTACAAATTCAAAAAAAAAATATATTTGAACTTGATTGGATCAATACAAAGTATTTTTTTAACGATTGAATATTTGAACAACATATATACAGGGAGAGTGTGAGCTAATAGAAGGAATTGAAAAAAGAGTAGAATATATGAAAGTATAGGAAAACGTATTTTATTGTACTGATCATAATTTAGACCTTTTATGGATTGAATATATAGGTGGGAATTTTTTCATTATTTATAAAAAAAAAAGCTGGTCTGAAAAAAGAATAATAAATTATTATTAAATCAGTCTAGTGATTTTTTTCCCATTGTTGGACGGCTTACATTATTTATCACATATAGCAGATTTATAGCATATACAGGATATGTTGTGAAGGTCTGAGGAAATATATGGTCTGAAGTAATTATCTTTCTACTGTGAATAAAAATAAAATAATAAGAATAAAAAGATTTCTTCTTTTTCCTTCACACAACCAATAGTGGCAAAGTATACTGACAAAGGTCGTGTTATTTACATAAATATGTAAATAACACGACCGTAAAAATCAGAACCGTAAACCTGTAATCCGAAAAAGCGCAGATCACCCAGTTTCCAATTAAATGTAAGCCAGTTTCTACGAAAAACACTCCAAAAAATTCTTCGCAATTTTGAAGATAAATTAACAGAATTCTTGTGAGGTCTATTCTATTAAATATGCTATTCTTTCGCAAGTAAATATTTAAAATTGCAAGAAAACCTATTTCTGTATCTGTCTTCTTACATTCTTCTATAATCTCAAATTTGCAAAATAAGATTTTAACAGATCTTCTTGAAGGGGCCTGAATGGCCGAGTGGCTAGCGCTCTGGCGCTCGGTGCCACAGGTTTCGGATACGAGTCCCGGCGGTGCCATGGTTGTTTGTAGTCGTTCGGAATCCACTTTAAATCGTAGGTCCCGTTCTAATAGGATCGTAGAGCGTTGCGGGGCAGTGTTACCCGCGTCCGTGGCTTATCTTCAAGTTACACGCGCCCCCTGGGTAATGCAAAGTGAGTACGTCTGTGCAGCACTTGCCTTAAGGCATCCAAAGACCAAACTGTCTGTGTTTGCCAGCTGCGTTAGAAAAAAAAACATATCTTCTTGCATTGAATCAGTACTTTTTATTATCTTTTAAAGCAAATTCTTTTTTCTTCCATAAAACTTTTATTAGTGTTCAGTAAGAAGAATAAGTGGGAAATATTTTTTCTCTATCTAAAAACTTATACGAATTCCATTTTTATTCTCTAAAGCAAAATATGAATTACAAGGAC